GTGCCATCGTGAGAATAATTCAACAACTGGCCGTAGTATCGTGAGAATAAAGATTTGAAACAAGAACAACAGCAGCAGCAACAGCACTCCAAAACACCATTTCACTCCTACACAATCGTCCTAGTCTATTAGACCTGTTCATCTACGACCACGTTTGGCAACAACCAGTTATAAACATTAATAGAATTTTACGACAATCAGATTGACAACACCGACACCACCCTGGTCTGTATGGAACTGTACCCTAAGACATGATGTCATCAGCTCTTTGTCCATATTTGATGAGAAGAGCGTAGCATTGAATGGTGATTGGTTGCATGTAGTGTTGTTATGAGGTAATGGGGTAGTGGGGTAGGTCCCTCATTATGTGTGTAGTCTACATGTGTGAATGTGATTCTTGTCACCAATGTCAACAACACCTTTTATGGTCTCGGTCTGTGCAGAGCGGGACGACATCGTGCAGACGTGTATCATATCACGTGACAGCACACTGACACACGCACACAGGCAGTGCTGCCAACACGAGATGCCGGAGTTCTGGCTACGGCACACAGCCACAAAGCTAAGCCAGTATTAGTATGTGTAAGTAGACTGCCATCCGGACCGTGGTCTGCCAGATAGTGAGCTGCATCTCTTGCCATTTACCACATGCATGTAAAGCACGATTCGTTCAAACCGTAGATTACACCGTTATTTTATCTGCACCGCTCAGTCGTCCATTTCGCACGGCACAGTCCACTGTTAGTTGGTGGTTTTCGTCTCCATCCCTTTCTCATTTCTTGTAAACGTCCTCTAGTGTTGTTGAATAGTTCATACCTACCTTTGTTAGTCGTGCATTATCCTTTCCAGTCATTGTTACTCATTCTCTCAACTACTAATCCAGTCTGTAGTGGCCACAACGCTCTCCCAGTGAATAACAAGTTTAGCATAACGCTCTCTCAGTGAGTAAAAGGTCCAGCATAACGCTTTCCCAGTGAATACCAAGTTCAGCATAACGCTCTCCTTCTCTTAGCGACCTACGTATTCCAGTCAGTCCACTCAGCCAACGTTTGAAAAAGATTTCACGGAACGGACAATTCACTCAGTAAGTAAAATACATCATGTGCTGTAGGTCTATTTAAAATCCCCTACAATGTAGCATTAGTATCACTGATATAGCACACTGTGACTATGCCTACTCCAGAGCTAGGTCATCAGGCTGAGTGACACGGTTGAGAACTAGCGTGTGTGCACATGCCTGGTACAAATCCGCTAGGTACTGCACGGATCTGGTAGTCATAATGGGTTCATTTATATTTGCTCCCGTTAGCGACTGGATCATTCCATTCACTCCCCTGTTCTTGCACTGTTACAAGTAGTTATCGTTCTGGCTATCCAGCTGTGGATCGTTCGGTAGCGGTTCAGGTCAAAGTCCAAAGTTCAAACAGTGAGTTACTTCTTTGCTGCACCATCCGGTCAAAGCCCTCCGCACTTCCACGCCACGGTTCTTCTTTACTCTTCACTGCTACTTGAAGACAACGTTCAAGGATGACTTTCTTGATCTCTTCCCTTTAGACTCGCCACTTGTAGTCGTGTTCGTCTATGAGAAGTTCAACGGTGACTTTATCCATATAGCAAGTTAGATTAGACCATGTTCAGAACTCTCAATAGACAAGAGAAGTTCATCATGTTTCCTACATATGGTGAGAAAGTAGAGAAAGGCAGATCGTTTTCAATGTCATCAACGTTACTCGAACAAGGAATGTAAGTTACAAATGGTGGCACTCCATCTCTTTCTTTTCGTTTACTTCCCATATTTTCGTTAGTAGTGTCGTCTCGTTGGTCGTTGGTCGTTGGTCTCCATCTTTGTCTTTGTCCCGTGTCACAACGCGACGGTAATTCAGGGACCTACTGATTGACCCGAGTCTTGTAGACGAAGTACTTTTCAGTTCTTTGTAACGAAGGTAGACCTGACGAGCAGGAGGATGGATACTGAGTATTTCTGGTTGCGATCGACGATGGAGATTGTTCGAATATCAAGTGTTTGCTGTTGTTACTGTTCGTGCTTTTCAAGTTGAAGTTGAAATTGTTCCATTCATTTTGGGTAGAGACGTACCTTTCCTCGAACTGTCGTTTTCTTCTTGCATGGTTGTCAACTGTACAGAGTTGGTGTTGTTTGAAGTGGAGAGCAGTATTCTTTCGTCGATAGTTGTCGTAGGCAGTTGTAGTAATGAGGTGTAACATTTGTCGGTGGTTTCTGTGGTTTTTGCTGAGACAGGTAAATTGCATTGTGTTGCAGTGTGTTGTGAAGATGTCCCCGTGATGTCGTTCATTGATCGTCTTCACCTTTTTCAGCTACTGACACAGTCAC